TGCATGATGTACAAAATGACTAATAAACTGGTGGATGTCCCAACTACTAAGTACCTAATACCAGCCCAGAAGAGAACAAGAAATAGCCACGCATTCAAGTACCAGAGTTATCAACCAAGGATTGAGGTGTTCAAGAATTCATTCTTTCCTAGAACTATCGCAGAGTGGAACTCACTGTCACCAAGTACAGTAGGGGCATTGTCAATAGATAGCTTTAAACAATGTCTAGAGCTAGAAGTTCAAGGGTTAGGTGTAACAAGTCGATCGGTGTAATATAGCCAGCTGCCGCCGCGCCGCGTGCCTGCGAAGCTGGTGTGTTACGCCGAAAGGCGGTTATACCGGCTATACAGATACAGATACAGATACAGACAAAGGGACTCCTAGAAGAAGATATTTCTACACCCCCTTTTGATTAAAAGTGAACATAGTAAATCCAAACATAGATAGCAAAATCTAAACGATATTTTCAGGTTGTAATCAGTGATAAAAAACTTCTGAAAGATTCGCTAGCCCAAATTCACCACGCAACTCCTGCCATGCCCTATTTATAGCACATAATCGCTGTAAAGCGTGTGATCGCTACAGGCACCGCCTATCCCTGAACTATGACCCTCAGTGACAAAAACTTGTTGATGTTAGGCCTCACCAAGGACACTTCTGTATAATGTCCTTGGCCTCACTTACTTCAGTTCTAGGATAACGTCCCCTCTAATTATAAAACTTATTTGAGAATGCGAAAAAATCATTAATCTTAATGAAATTACAGTAATTTGCTTAACCCTGTTCTTGACAGACTTGGTTTCAACTATCCGTGGTTTTCAGTGCACTGCATACTCAAATAAGAGATATCTTTATATAATACGTAGCATCGCAATGGATGCGCAAAATTTGTTATGTATTCATACCCTAGACGAGCTTTCATATGATTTATCGAAATGTGGACCTTATTTGCATATTCAAGAAGAAAAAATAACTAAATTCACCCCGTAGGTCTTATAGGGCATTGTTGGTGAGGTTGGTGACGCCCTATTAGTGGAGCAACACACGTACACAGAGAAAGAAAGAGAGAGAAATAACAAACCCCTCCCTCGTACCGCCATCTCTAACTCTATCTCTGTTTTACATTACTCATACAAACACACACACACACACAGACATGACACGCCCCAACATAACACCACCACCTTCTATACCTCTCTCATCTACCTTACCCACACACTCACACACACACACACACACACACACACACATACATACATACACTCACCTAACACACACACACACACACACACACACACACACA